TGCTACTATAGGCCAATACAATCCATAAAATCTTCAAAATATTATGCCTTGTAGCCCTCATACTATAGAGTCTATTGCTATTCTTACCTTCTTGTGCACTTCAGTACTCAGGGCACAATTTACAAAATGAAAAATCATACAAATGCCTCGGTGACATGCTTGTAGTCCTTTGCACCTGGTAAATGATCTCTAAGAATGCAATTGTATGCCTATAAGCACCTTTGTGTCCTGTAGTGTACATTACAATCCACTTGCTGCTGTTTCTGGTATGTGGCTCCAGCTTTGTAGATGCAGAGGCACATGTGAGTTTTTTTGTTTTGCATTTTGTGGCTGCACTAGCCATTGTATATGCATAGCATTCACCCTTTATATCCTCTGCATGAAGGGCTTTCAGGAGGGTATAGTATGCTTGCATCATTTGTTACTGATGTGTACTTTGTGGGCTTGTAATGATTCAGGCTACATTGTGCAATAAGCGCTCAATGAGCGCCCATGCCACGCGAGGTTCACTTGTTGACAGGTCAAAATTTTGACCTGTCAGCAAGTCATCTTGCAGTGTGGTCTCCCAGACTCTGTTGCAAACTGCTGCAAAAAGCAATTGTCCTTACCAGGATTCACCATTCTCAGCCCAGCAACAAGTTTGATTGAATCCAAAAACCCTCGAAATATTCATGCTAGTAGTCCTCATACTATAGACTCTATAATAGGTATTTGCTGTAGTGTCCATTACTCATGCCACAATATGCAAAACAAAAAATGCACAAGTTGTCATGGTTTTCTTTACTTTGTGCACAGGATTCAAGTAAATAACACAGCATATCCACATTTTTAGACCCACTGGATAGTGAAGTTGTATCATTGCTAGACTGCTGAATAAAAATGCAAAACTGGGAGATTGGATCCAGGGCAACTTTCATCAGACATACAGTTCATAAGGTTCCTTAGATAATATCTATGCAGGATAGCAATGTCACTCCCTTAGCATACTGCTACTTTTGGTCAAAACTGCCCTTTTGAGTGTTACTGCTCTTCCATGGCCTTGATAAAATCAAAGATACCCCAAAAATCCACAATGGTATGTATCATATCATAGATGTGATCTTGGGTATCACTTTACCATGTAGCTCACTAATGAGGGCCCCATTTGCACATCAAGCACAGAGAATTCCGACTAAATTTGTTTTATCTCCCACTTATCTGATTCATATCACCGTATATCATACTCACAGACATTCCAACAAGTATCTGGGTACTACATGGGGCAGAAGGATTTCCCTGTGAGTTGGTGGTTTGCTAGTTGATCTGAGCTCAATAATCATTACAAAATTAGAGCATGCTTGACAATTGTTGTGGTGTTGCTTCACAACAGTGATAGCTTCTGTGCAAGTCATATGACTGCATTTGTGCTTGCAGCCCAATCCAATATTCAAGATGGCTACTACAGTGCTGCTCATGTGATTTCTGATAAAATATTGATTGAAATAACTGACAATGGCTATATAGTGCTGTACCAATATTGACAAGTTGAAACTTGTCAACAACTTCATGCTGCCTGCATTGTTTCTTGTGGCAACACCTCTATGTAGCATCCAATGAAAACCATTGAGTGTTCACTGACTTCACTACAGGGATTCCAGCAGCTATCTGTGTTGTACCAGGCAAAATGAAGCATACTTACATGTTGGATCAATACTATATAGGTACTACCACCAGAATACATCTCCACATTCCTATTCTGTCCAACCTATGCCTATATCACCACATAAAGGGTCACTCAGCATTGTGTACTTTATGCCGATGCGCATGCCATCACTCAAAATCCAAAAGAAATTAATGGGTAGAGATTCAATGAGAACACTGGCTCAATAGGGGAAGTCACAAATACATGTTCCTGAGGCAGATGGCCTTGGAGCTCATGGCAGGAAACCACATTGTTTTTTCATTAGCAAGTGGCTGTAACCTGCCTCCCTGCAGTTACTACGATACATCACTACGGACACTTACCTTACACAAACATCACAGTTCCGCACACATACCCGTCACCGTTCCTTCACATTACATAAGCAATTCCCTTCATGTTTGGATTCACACCTTCATTGTCCTTTAGTCTGTACTATTGCACAATGAAGGTATGTACTTCAGTACACCGTGATATACTTGTACTTATGACTCTTTACTATTGCGCAACGAAGACACTTGGTTCCTGTTCTTGTTCTGAGTGATTACCCGGTGTTAGGGATAGAGGCTTGATAGCCTCAGAGTGCACAGAAACGCATTAGAAGTGTTTACTTACTGAGTGGCTGCATCAGTGAAGGTTTGTTATGTGCTTATCTTACTCTCCTTATCTTTCCTTTATTCCACTGAATGGACATCAATGTAGCACTTTCATTGTTTTATTACCGAGGTATTGATTACCGAGGGTTTGATGCTTTAGAAGTGCTTGTTACTGTATCTACTAAACGGACTATTACCGAGTTTCTAGTGTGTTCTTACTCAGTATGACCAGATGCCTTCAGTACTGATACAAGAGCTGTTGTATGCTCGGTAAATGATGGTTACTAATCATCAATTACCAAGTTATAATGGTTTTGTATCGGCATAGAAAGGAATGGCTGTGCAACAATTACTGAGCCATTCCCGAAGCCATGTTGAATGGCTGTGCTATCCTTAGGCTGTACACCAAAAATGCGGACTCTTGCATGCCTCGGTAATGCCTCAGGAATCACAGTCCTGAAACAGTGGCTGTACTGTGGCTATACTAGGATGACTTGGTAACATAGCTTGCCTTGTTGGAAACAACAAAGTGTAAGGCTATGATCCTATTGTTCTCCTAGAATGGCCTCTGAAGCGGTGTAAATGAGTCAAGGACATGTACTACACACTTCTACAACACTCCTTGATTTTCTATATACTTCCATGTAGCTCCATTGGCTGTGTCCTTGGTAATGGCATAAAAGGCCATTCCCGAGCACAGTCAAGGACATCTATCTTCAATTCACCATCTACTCTTCACCAAAACACACCCTGTGTGCCACTCAAAGTCTTACTTTGCCCCGAGTGCTAAGTTAGCCATACTAGCTACTCTCTCGCTGAGTTCTTACCGACGTGCTCTAAGACCTGCAACAGTGAAACCTTACTTAGTACAGTCCTCGCGCTACTAGTAAGATTAAGTAACTCATTGACTGACTTCACAAGTTGAGTTCAGTAAGAGAAGGTGCTTAGTCATCATCTACTTCTGTAAACTTGTTACCAACATCAATAGATCTCTGTATCAACTAGTTCCATACTAGCACGTCTCAGTGGCATTACTATAATTAAAGTGGTTAGCCTAACCAGCAACTCACTTGACACTAAAGCAAGCCTTATAGCCATTAGCTGGCTGAGGATTAATTGCCTTAGTGAGCCCCTCTTGAAGCACGGCCTTGCGCTGCTACATTAGGGTTTTGTAATTTGCCATTGTCACTGTGCAGTCAAAGCTAGCTGTTCAGACTTCCATTCAACTTCTGTTGTGTGACTTCAAAACCGAAAAAGCCCATTCCTTCAGAATCAACCTCTGGATACTAATCCTCTGTATTCAGACTTCATCCTCTATTCTAAAAGGCTCTAAACCTCGGCAATAACCCCCATTCATTGCCAACTTAAATACATTCTTAGCTTACTCTTCCCAGTTGAAGAGCAGTACTGCATACTTGTATAGCAGCACTGACTAAAGTCCCACCCTCTTTTGTACTTGTTGTGGATCTGGTATCCTCATTACAGCCCAACTTTGCACTGTCTCGGTAATTGCATTGCCGAAGATTACCGAAGATTTTACCATTTGTTACCGCTTTGTATAGGCAATACAGATCTCTATTACCAAGGTTACTATTCCTATTGACTCAGCAATAAACTCGGTAACTAGGTGTCATTAAATCAAAAACAGAACCATAACAGCATACCTGAATGCTTCGCCCGAGGAGACCATCTACATGGAGCAGCCAGCAGGGTACGTATCTAAAGAGTTCCCTGCCCACATACGCAGGATGAACCACACCCACATACGCAGGATGAACCGCGGACTCTACAGCCTGATGCAAGCCGGGAACGACTGGTGGAAGGACCTTGCCAAAACCTACAAGGACTTGGGTTTCTTACGCTTGCAATCAGACAAATGCGTGTGGGCCAGGTTTGACGAGGAAGGCCTAGCAATCACGGCTACCTACATGGACAACATCAATGAAGCAGCAGATTTGAGCGCAAGTCTAGACAACGTGCAATCTGAACTCACTGTGTGGTACCAGCTCAGCGGGGGAGCAGAATTCAAGTACATGCTTGGCATCCTGATCAAGCAGGACCAGAACAAAAAACCATGTGTCTTTCCCAGCGCGCGTACATGGAACGTGTGTTAGACCGGTTTGGAATGAAAGACACAAACTGTAAGAGCTCGGCCTATCTGGGAGGCCTTGTTCAGGGGTTTGAACAGGCTTCACTGCCCTATAGGCCAGGGGTGACCTTGGTGCACTGCTGCCAGTGCTGTCCAGTGCGGACGGTGGGTGTTATGGACTGGGATTGCTAACTTACCGAGTACTTACTTAGTAACAACCATTGGTAGTTACGTAATTGTAGTCACCTTAGTTAAGAAATGAATTGAGGATTATCTCATTGTGAAGAGGATTAACACAACAATTTGCATGATCGACTATGAGGATTAGTCGATTGAGAATTGATTTTGCTCAACGGGTTCAAACACTAAGTCCGGAGTGGCACAGTAGTGCCTACATTCTTAGTGAAGCTAAGAAACTCAGTTGATCGAAGTAAGTTGGTTACAACATCAGGAAACCCACCCCGCGCAAATGTGGCGCAAATGCGCGGTAAAGCGCCGCCGCGCCACTTTGGGCACCAGTGTCTCGTAAATCAGTGTAAAGCAATAAAATCCGGTGTAAACGGGCTGTCCACAGCCCCGTAAAAACATCCCATAAATATATTTGTTGTTTGACTGACATATGCTAATACAATTGTGTTCAACATTCACTATCAAACCAGAAGGCACGAGAGTGCGGTGGGGCCACTTGCTGCAAGCTGCGCGCGGCGCAACGTCTGGCAGACGTGTTCGCTGTCTGCAGTGCTCGAGTTCGCTGCCGTGATGATGGTCAATGTTACACAGACAGTCAGACGTTAGCGTACACACCTTGGGCTCAATATGGGGATGTTTCTGCCCATCCGGTCGGCATGTGCGTGGCCATTGGCGCGGGACGTGCACGTCGACAAGACGATGGCGGCGGCGATGATCGCATACACCAAGGGCTCTACAGGGTTGAGCTTGGGCTGAAGTGGCATATGCCACCTGCAGGGCCGTGCGGCACGTTGAGTCATGGCACTCCTTCTCGGCGGGAAACACCGATGCCGCACACAGGTGGACTTGGAAAGGTTGCCTAGCGCGATTGGGGCTTGGGGCGGAGAGGTCGCAGACGTGGGGCTGTCGAGGTTGCCGGTGTAGCCTGGGCAGCCACTAGCTGGGTGACATTGGGCGAGCAGTTGTGAGATAGGGCACGTCTGCTCACCTGTTATGCGCGAGCAACCGTGCACATTGCGGGCTGTCTGGTCTGCCGCAGACAGGGGCTGTCTGCCTGTCCAGCACTGACACACTGGAACAGGCGATCCGAAGTGACGGCCGCGGCGGCAATTCATACGTACCTGCTCGGCGGATATGTGTTATCTGCAGGTCCCGCGAGTGGACGCAGGTGTGGGTGACAGTGAAGGGTCGGGATGCCGAGTGGATAGCGTGCGAGGACGCAGGTGGGTGGATGGGCGTGCGTGCATGCAGGCGGGCGCACTCACCTGTACTCTCGAGCCTTCACGCTCACTCGACTTTGCCTCCCGCCTTCCACACTCCTTCTCGATGCTCGGGCTCCGGTCCTCCTGTTTGCGCCATCTGCGTGGTGCGAGACGGTGCGAACGGACGGATTGTCGCGCTGCGTGAGTTGCGTTGCTGCTGGGTGCTGGTAGCACTCGTTGATTCTCAAAAAGTTGCGTTTGTGGAGGGTGAGCAGTAGCGAGTCCGTGCGGGGAGGTCGGGGACATGGGCAGCAACGAGCAGGATGACTTACGGGGACGCGTGGTACGCGACGGGACAGGTGCGGGTGACAGGACAGGACGGGGAATAGTGGTCGGTGAACACGCGCAATGGCGGACAAGTTGCAGAGAGAACCCGTGCAGAACACTGCACAGGCGCTAACGACTTGCGTGCAGTGCGTAGTGCGCGCGACGCGACGTGGAGGGGCAGCTAGGGCGTACCGGGCGCGCGATGAGTCGACGCGGCGGCGTGACGGGGCACATGCTGGCGGGTAGCGGCACATTCGTGCTGGCGACGGCATCGGTGCGTGGGAGGGACCGCCCTGTCGCGAGCGGGACGGCGGGGTCGACAGGCAGGGTGAGAGGCGGTGGCGAGAGGAGTACAAGTGCTCGCAGTGGGACAAGTACTCAGTGTCGCCACGACTCAAGGCAGTACGAGGCCTGCCCTGAACTCCGCCACCGGGCGCTTCGAGTCTGCCTCGCTGGCGACTCACGCTTTTCAGTACTACCTCGAACCCTCTCAGACCACCAGTACTGTAAGCTAGTTTCCTCGCATGCTCAATGCCTACGTGGTGTCTGACCGCCCAGCGCGCAAATGCACCCGATGACCCCCAGCGCGCAAATGCACCCGGCGACACTCGGCGCGCAAATGCACGGTCACCCGCCGAGCAGACGGCGGGTGCGTGAGCAATGAGGGAGGGCCACGAAGCTCGACAGGGCGGTGTGCCCACGAGCACGCAGACGTATTCAACGAGCGGATCACGGGGGCCAGCAGTGCAGGTGAGTGCAGTCGAATGCGAGCACGCAAGCTGACCGCGGGCACACTGGCAGGACGCTCGCAAAGCACAACACACATGCCAACCGTGAGCACGCAGGGCCAATGCTCCGCGTGCAAACGCAGCCGACGGGCGGAACATGGGTACAGGTGCGGGGGTGGGTGGCCAAGCAGGTGGGGAACAACCAAGCACGCGGACGGGCGGGCGCACGGCCGGCACGTTGGACACGTCGGGAAGGTGCCGCAACAAGTGTGGTGGGCACGGCACACACCACATAAGTATACTCTGTACGTGCCTGCCCCTGCTCATGCTCACGTATGTAACTGCATCACAGACTCGAGGCTGTCTACCCACGAGCTCACCCGTCAGTCCGTCACCCGTCAGTCTGATTCCCACGTCTGACATTTTTTGCCAGTTCAACCTCGTGAGCAGCATGCTGATGGACACCACATACCCGCTCTCAAGTATACGTTTTGCGCTCGAGGTAAGTGCACCCATATGCAGCGTCACGCCGTATATCTGACTCGTCACGGTTGCACCCTGTCGTGCACCCACACACCCTGCCTTCCCCCTCGCATGCCTGGACGTGCTCGTTAAGAGTGTCACATACGTCCATCGCTGGCATCGATGTGACCGAGCTCGGCCCCAACAAGCTTGGCTTGAAGTGCGGGTGGACCGACGTTTGCGTTCTCAAAGGTGATGGAGGCTTAAGTGTTTGTTTACGGTTTATGCATGTTGCAGTCCTGATAGATAATGGTGGCGATCATGTACTGTAAATTCAAATGAATTGAAATGGATTGGACTACTGATTTGTTTTGCGTTGAGCTGTCTTTAGCACCGGTTTGACGTGGATTTTGCGTAAATTCGAGCAAATTGAAAGGGGGGGTCAAGGTAATGGGGTGTCCAGGAAATTGACGTGAATTTACGCAAATTCGCGCAGGGTGGGTTTCCTGATGAACTATAGTGAATAGAACGTTACAACAATAGTTGAGGATGCCACTAAGCACGAACCCAACTCTAACCGTAGATCGGTGAAACTTACTCTTACCGAACCCTTCAGAGTAGCACGGAGCTATATATTGTTGAAGGGGTCAAGGTAGATCGACTTAGCGCACAGCTATAAGTACAATTGACCTTAGTGTGTCCAGCGCGAGGCTATGGATGATTGAGTGGCTCACCGATGGATTGAAGTTCAAGAGAGTGTTATTCATCCATACTCTACGACAGCATTTATATATCTACAAAGAGTCCTAGAATATTCCACATGTGAACAATAGTCCTATTGAAACCCTCGGTTGACTGCCCGCGTATTCATTGTTCAAAAGCCAAACCGATCAGCCTTGGTTAGGTCACAACAGGTGAGTCTAGTCAAGTCGATCAGATGTCCGGCACGATCTTCCTTAGTCACTTGACTTAAGTCTCAAGTAGGCAAGTTCTGACTTTTCTTAGAAAGGAAGGCTCGTGCCGTTAGTCACATGTCGGTGCTAGCCACTTGACAGACTTTGTGACTTAGATACTTTGATTAGATATACCTAACAGTGGGTCCTAGACGAGGCGAGGAGCCTGTCAAGGGTTGTTCCTAGACGGGCGAGGAGCCTAGTTGAGGATTGTCAGCACGGCGAGGAGCCGGCTGTTGTCATCAGTGAGGCAAGGAGCCGGCTGTTGTCATCAGTGAGGCAAGGAGCCTCCTGTAGTCCTACGCTGGCAAGGAGCCGCCCGGTTTTGGAGACAGCAAGGAGCTGTGCTCCTCAGTGCAGCGAGGAGCTCGCACTGTTCGTCAGAGTGCGAGGAGCACTCTCGACTAGAGATAAGACTCCATGCTCGGACGGCGCGGTGGTTTGCACGCATACGAGGTGGCAGTAGTGGGTTAAGATCAGTTACTTCCCAACAAGGAAGGCAGATGATTAAGTACATGTGTGATCTAATCTTATCTACACTAGATGGTTCATAATCTATAGTACTGGGCAGGCATAGTGATGCCTATCTGTCACACAAACCCTGTAGGCACACCGCTCGAGCCAGGCTGCAAGTTATTGAAGGAGGCTGAGCCGGTGACTGCAGAGCAGCGAGCCGAGATGGAGAAGATGCCCTATTGCAAGGGTCTGGGTGCAGTCATGTACCTTGCAGTTGCGTCACAACCGGACCTCTCCTACCCCATACAGCTGCTCAGCCACTTCATGTTATGGTTCTGTTTTTGTTTATAGAAAGCTAGTTACCGAGTTTATTGCCGAGTCAATAGGAATAGTAACCTCGGTGATAGAGATTTGTATTGCCTATACAAAGCGGTAACAAACGGTAAAATCCTCGGTAATCTTCGGCAATGCAATTACCGAGACGGCGCAAAGTTGAGCTGTAATGAGGATACCAGATCCACAACAAATACAAAAGAGGGTGGGACTTTAGTCAGTGCTGCTATACAAGTATGCAGTACTGCTCTTCAACTGGGAAGAGTAAGCTATGAATGGATTTGAGTCGGCAATGAATGGGGATTATTGCCGAGGTTTAGAGCTTTTCAGAATAGAGGATGAAGTCTGAATACAGAGGATTAGTATCCAGAGGTTGATTCCAAAGGAATGGGCTTTTTTGGTTTTGAAGTCACACAACAGAAGTTGAATGGAAGTCTGTACAGCTAGCTTTGACTGCACAGTGACGATGGCAAGTTACAAAACCCTAATGTAGCAGCGCGAGGCCGTGCTTCAAGAGGGACTCACTAAGGCAATTAATCCTCAACCAGCTAATGGCTATAAGGCTTGCTTTAGTGTCAAGTGAGTTGCTGGTTAGGCTAACCACTTTAATTATAGTAATGCCACTGAGACGTGCTAGTATGGAACTAGTTGATACAGAGATCTATTGATGTTGGTAACAAGTTTACAGAAGTAGATGATGACTAAGCACCTTCTCTTACTGAACTCAACTTGTGAAGTCAGTCAATGGGTTACTTAAACCTTACTAGTAGCGCGAGGACTGTACTAAGTAAGGTTTCACTGTCGCAGGTCTTAGAGCGCGTCGGTAAGAACTCGGCGAGAGTGGTTGAGTGGCTAGTATGGCTAACTTAGCACTCGGGACAAAGTAAGACTTTGAGTGGCACACAGGGTGTGTTTCGGTGAAGAGTAGATGGTGGATTGGATGATAGATGTCCTTGACCGTGCTCGGGAATGCCCTTTTATGCCATTACCGAGGACACAGCCAATGGAGCTACATGGAAGTATATAGAAAATCAAGGAGTGTCGTAGAAGTGTATAGTACATGTCCTTGACTCATTTACACCGCTCCAGAGGCCATTCTAGGAGAACAATAGGATCATAGCCTTACACTTCATTGTTTCCAACAAGGCAAGCTATGTTACCGAGTCATCCTAGTACAGCCACAGTACAGCCACTGTTTCAGGACTGTGATTCCCGAGGCATTACCGAGGCATGCAAGAGTCCGCATTTTCGGTGTACAGCCTAAGGATAGCACAGCCATTCAACATAGCTTCAGGAATGGCTCGGTAATTGTCGCACAGCCATTCCTTTCTATGCCGATACAAAACCATTATAACTCGGTAATTGATCAGTAATAACCATCATTTACCAAGCATACAATAGCTCTTGTATCAGTACTGAAAGCATCTGGTCATAATAAGTAAGAACACACACTAGAAACTCAGTAATAGTCTGTTTAGTAGATACAGTAACAAGCGCTTCTAAAGCATTAAAACGTCGGTAATCAATACCTCGGTAATAAAATAATGAAAGCGCTACATTGATGTCCATTGAGAGGAATAAAGGAAAGATAAGGAGAGTAAGATAAGCACATAACAAACCTTCACTGATGCAGCCACTCGGTAAGTAAACACTTCTAACGAGTTTCTGTGCACTCTGAGGCTATCAAGCCTCTATCCCTAACACTTCATGGCCAACCCAGGATATACCCACTGGCATGTGCTGAAATGTGTCCTCCAATACCTGAAGGGAACACTCGACTACGGCATCACATTTGACGGGAACCACCCGGCAGGACTCCAGCTGACAATCTACTCCAACACTTCACTTGCTGGGGAGTGGGCCATGTCTGGCAATACGATCCCTTCAGTTTGAAATCTCAGAGCAAGCAGGCAACATGTCTAGTAGTGTCACATCTGTAACACTACCTCCTCAGCTCCAGACATTCAATCTTACATATCTCTCACTCTGGATTTTGACTTGTGCATGCCTTGATAACCCCACTATTCTTTTTCACAATGATTGAACTTACATATCCAGGCTTCCCTACAGACATGGTACCACTATGTACCAACAACTATTGAGCTCATCATGCACCATTTAATGTACATGGGTCCATAGAATTGTGATTTCAAATGCCTTGCCTATGGCTAGAACGTTGCTTTGGTAATCATTTCTCACTCCTCACTGCATATATGATCTGTTTTGATTACTGCACAATTTTGGTCATCTGTCCAGTTTATACTCTGTGCCTGTGATGGCCATTGGGTGCATGGTAGCTGACATGTATTATCAAAAATGAATTACATGATTGTAATGAATTCACAAGTGAGTCAGTCATATCTAGCAGCATTCAATGCAAGTAATCACTCCATTTCAGCAGATGCTACTGCCAATTGGTGTCATGAACAGTTATTGATGGTGTCACATTGTAACATCAAATCTTAGAGGGTGCATGGGCATGCCAATGTGGTATCAGAACAGTTGAGTTGCATATGATTGCCCCTTAGGCTCAGGCATATGGTTTCATTATTTAAGTGCATGCCTGACATATCTAGAGCACAGGGAGGTTGACTTATGATGTGTTTATCAGTCACTGATTGCTACAGTAAAATCAACAATTAATGGCTTTCATATGTATGTTATGACCAACCATTATGATCAAACAGATGTCATAAGAGAACTGCCAAGTGTGAGTGATGATGTCAATAAACATATTCTCTTAATTTCTCTGCCATCTTTGGGTTCCAGTCCGTCATAGTTCTGCTTCAATTGTAGACAGCTGATTACAGAGTTAATCACCCTGTCGATAGGGACATGAATCTCAGTGACAAAGATCTCTGAGCTATTCAAAGTGGTAAGAGGTTGTGAAACCTCTGATAATGCTTGGTGACATGGTTACCAAAATGGAGTATACCATTATAACTTAGTAATTGATTAGTATAATCATCATTTACCAAGCATACAACAGCAATTATATCAGTACTGAAGGATCCTATGATAACTGCAATGAGCAGGAACACAGTAGAGATTGGGAGATGGGGAAATAGTCACAATAATAGTCCACATAGTATATGCATTGTTAAGTGCTTCAAAGCATTGAAATGTCAGTGTGCACATATATTGGTAATAGTACAACAAAAGCATGCAATGATGACAAGTGAAATTCTGACAGAAAAGATAGACAGACATAGAATACATATCAAAAACATTCAACAGATGTAGCCACTTGCTAATGGAAAAACAATGTGGTTTCCTTGCTTGAGCTCCAAGGTCATCTGCCTCAGGAACATGTATTTGTGACTTCCCCTACTGAGCCAGTGTTCTCATTGAATCTCTACCCATCAATTCTTTTTTGATTTTGAGTGATGGCATGCACATTGGCATAAAGTACACAATGCTGAGTGACCCTTTATGCGGT